ATCTATTTTTTGGACTGCTTGACGACGATGCACTCTGCTACGCCTGGCTGTGTCGCTCGCCATCTCTCACCCAGATCTCTCACCCGGCCTCTGGAGCCAACGAGGCAAATGCCCCGTCGTAGCAAACGGCACAATGGTGCAAGAGTCAAAGAGCCTTTGATGCAAAAGATATGCAACGACTCTAGTGTGCGAAGTGAACGGATGCCGTGCGTTGAGAAGGACCACGGGTCTTTTCAGCTAAAATTACATGTATCGACAAACAGATAACCGCCTGTCTTTGGATGCCAGAGCCACGTCCAACGTCCCGCGCGCGGGCGTCCAAGGTGACACCGTACGCCCGCCCTCCGCCACGCACCGCGTTGCCGTCGATTGCGAAACAGACGTCGCCGTCCGGTGTCGTCCGGGCGCTGCTCGGGGACACGAGCTCGATAGAAGCCCGCCTCGATGAGCTCCAAGCCGACTTGCAGTCCTCGTTTGTCCACCACGCGACGCGCATGAACCGCCTTCAGCAACAGCGTAGCATCAACACCAAGCGTATTCTGCAGCAGCGAAACGTGAGGCCGACGCTCGCGCACCTCGAGCGAGCACCGCTTGTGGACGAGACCCTCTTGTGCCCAAGCTGCCACGCCTTTCGGAGGCGCGACGATGTCCTTCCGCTGCCGTCGCCGTGGGCCGAGTGCCGGATCAGCGCGAGCCAGAACCACTTTTGCCACGGCGCATCCCACGAGGTTCGAACGTCGCCGCCGCCAGGAACACAGCATGTCGCCACGATCGTGTTTCAACATTACGGCACAACCCAACAAGTGTGTCAATGTCCCGTCGTCGCAGCGCAGCCCAAAACGCGATCGTCCAGGGACCACCTGCCCGGTAGCATGGAGGTCGTATCCTCCTCATCAGCTGCACCTTGCTGAGATCTGAGGCCATGTCGCCGCCGCGTCGTTGCGGATTGGCACGCCCCTTTTGATAGAGTCATATGGGTCTATAATCTTGTTATCAACCCTTGTAGTCATGTACATCATGTGTAAGACACTTGCCTGTGTAAGACACTTGCCTGAGGGCAAATTGAAAACTGAATTACATCGTCATTTACAAAGCTAACCCTAGCCCGAGTCGTGTAGGTGTAGGGGATTGAACTTCACATTGAACTTCACCTTGAGCTTCACCTTGCACTGCAAGGTTGTCATGGAGAACTCGACCTGGTCGGTAGGATCCGGTCGTAACATCATGCCTTCAACCACAGTGTGACCGCAACTGCAGTTTACTTCGCGCAACCGCCCAAAGTTTCACATAGCGTCGGTCTACCATACTGCTGACAGTGCCGATCGAGCAAGAGCGTCAATCAGTCTGCGCACCACCGCGCAGCCGAGGGCCGAGGCCGAGAGTTTACGTTTGTGTTGGCCCACCAGTATTGGCCTCCAACACAAATAAAGAAGATATCTTTCCAGTCCACCTTCAGCACCTACCGACGAACAAGACGCGCCGCCGCCTGCGTAGCTACGACCCAGCGAGCGAATGGAGTGATTTCGCACGACACGTGTGAAGCTGTGTTTTTGGACCACGGCCAAGCAAATTTGCCATCTTGCCCGAACTGCGGTTCCCGTTTTGGCAAGGCACCTACTGTCAACGTCGAAGACCCACAGTCCAAGCAGCACGCTCACCTTAGCTACTCATTTAACCCCACCGATCAGTCCCTTCTTGGCCAACACGAAGCTCACTCTGCTTCCCATGCACTTGGCCACGGGGACGAAAAAGAAAAAGGAGATTGCGAGTCTCTACTTTATCTTAAATACACCCTTGTTTCAATGTAGCAAAAACATCCCTTGACCAGAGTCTCACCGAGTACAAGTCGTATCAGGATAAAATGACGACCGTTTTGGCATGATATTGACGGTACTTTCTACGTTTCGAGCTCTAATTTTACGCACGCGCCAAGGATTTGCGGGTATTTTCACGTGGCGGGAGGTCGGGTCGCGATGCAGACGAAGGCGTCGTCGCCGCCTCGCCCCGCCGGTGTTGGCTCTGACGAGCGGCTCCCGATGCTCCCAAAGGTGCTCGTGCCGCTCAAGGCCAATCTGCAAGATACTCCAATGCAAAAGAGCTTTGCGGAGAGTCTTCTCGAAAGCGCCAACAAGTGGTTTCCAAAGAAGCCAACGACAAGCAACGATATACCAACACCAGAGCCGAGCCACACGATGATGCCCAGGATGGTCGACCTACGAAAGCAGTGCAGCGCGCCCCAGGTCCTCGTTGGCCTGAATCCAAGCGAGCTCCCCATGCTGGATACGACCCATGACCTGTGTCCCCGCTGCCACGGCTTCCTAAAGCACGAGGTGATTCCCTCTCTGCCACACGACTGGACCGAGTGCAAGCTCAATTCGGGGCGCATTGGTTTTTTCAACCCCACGACCAACGAGACGCTAGCGATTCCGCCACCAGGGATGCCACCGACCAGCTGCGTGGTATTCCAGTACCACGGAACGACGTCGCATGTCTGCCGCTGCCGCCAGCGCCGCAGCTCATTGATCTCGCCTTCACGCAGCCGCAAGTCTCGGCGTTACTCGACCAGCGCACTGATTGTGTCCGTCGCAGCCGACCACTCGAATCTGCTTCCAATCGAAAACACATCCACCACACCAAACGATGCCCCTCCGATGGTGCGACAGTCATCGAATTTGAAATAACGACTCGTATAATGATGACATCTCAAACATGTGCTGGCGTCGCATACAGCTGCTTGGTGCTTGTCGGGCAGGTCACCTGATACCAAAGCACCGGCAGGCCGACTGCTTGAAGAATGACTACCGTGTCGACGAGGAATTGCGTTTGGTGCAACCAGAGCTCGAGTCGATCCATGAGCTTGAGTGGGCCCGGGGCTGCCAGAATATATGTCAAGTGCTGTGGCAGGTATATCAACCGTGACTTTTGAGCAGGAGGAGGGGTCTGCGGCGGCACTGTGTAGGTGAGTCGTCCCGTCTAGACTGAGGTTGAAGACAGAGAGCGCGCAGAACGAGTCCACAAGCTCGAGTTGCGCGGTGGTCGCGCGGTGTCTCGAGTCCGTAAGACAGCTGACCATGGGTCTCGAGTCCGTAAGACAGCTGACCATGGGGGTTCTAACTATGTCTCCGTTGTAATCAATTGAAAACGAGCGAGCGAGAGCAAGACGGCGACCAAGGGCATCTTAGCGAGATCCAACGTATAACAAGACAGTAGAGGGCCGCGCGCCCACAGTAAAACCAAGCGTGTTCGGGACAATGCAGATAATCAAGTGAGCGTATCGATCACTATCCGCGCAATGCTCGGAGTGGCCTGCCGTCCACTCCATACAAATGTCATGCAACTTTAGTAGATCCTGAACACTCCGCTACGGGATGGTCGTGGAGCAGTTGACGTGTCATAAAGATCTTGTACGATCGTCAGCAGTCGCGATCTCTCTACTGCGCTGGACTGCTTGGATGCTTGGACTTCGCGGTCAGGTTTTTATAGCACGTCCTCTATCTTAGCACGCCCTCTATCTTAGCACGGCGTCCTAGATAAGCCCGTTTCCACTTTTGCAAGCACCGAATGGTATTAATGGAACGGTACGACCATGATTGATCACGTCTTTGGCTCAATGTATCCCCGAGCCCTACACGCCAGAGAAACCTCTCCCGGTCCGCTCCACCGGCGAGTTTGATCAGCAGCATGAACTCTCGGGATCTCGATGCCGCACAGGCTATCCATTTATACGTGCAAGCCCCCGAGTTCGTCACTCTCCACCAACTTTGCAAACGATGGGAAATAGAGTCGGTGGATGGTTGCCTTCGCGAGAATCGTTTCACCCTATCTGTTTATGCACGGGCAATGGCGGGCCGTAGTAGCCCGACCCATGGGACCCAAATATTCGTATTTTTAACAATCACGCAAGCAAGCGTAGTCGTAGCAACGTCACACCACACTACAATGGCCCAAGGACCGCGTGCGTCAGGTCGCAGTCGACACGTTTCCACCCACCGTTGCTCCGATGCGGCAGCAACCACGCGCTTGCTGCCAGTCTCCCGGTGATGCCCAAGGTCTACTCCCCTCAGGACGTATTATCACATCGACCGCGGCGTGACGGTCGACGACGTCTTGACGACTTTGCACATTGACCCGTCGACGACCTTTGCGTCCAAAAGATAATGGCAATGCGAGGCACCGGGGCATGGACGCGCTCCTCGACGCGCGGCCAAAGCCAAAAGGCGTGACGCTTTGCCCGCGCTGCCGCGGCTTTCCGAAAGAGTCGAGCGTACCAGTGTTGCCACCGCATTGGATCGAGACATGCCGACATTCGAGAGGCAAGTGCGCCTTTTACAATACCAAGACAAGAGAGTCGCTGGATTTTCCGCCGTGGGGCACCGCCGCGATTTGCTCGACGGTCTTTCACCACCATGGCACGACGCAGTTTGTGTGTCGGTGCCGGGACACGGCTCTGACGCCCGTCATGGACCGGGCCAAGACGAGCCAGAGCAAGCGGGCCCGATACCACTCGGTCGTGTAGCGCGCTATTACCAATCCTGACTCGAAATAAATGCAGGCGTGAATAAACCTGCGAGGAGGAGAATGGCCTTGCCGAGCCACTCGTCCTCTTCTTGTACGGCATTCGTGCCCTTAAGCGCAGCGGCGCGGACTGCTCTTTCTTGAGGCGCGCTGTCTTTGCCGCTTCATCCTCGTTGGCGCGCGCCGACGCATGGCCCTTACGGTCGCTCTCCTTGCGCGCGGCCTTAGCGGGCTGAACTTCCTTGGCGCTTCCTCTCGCCTTCCTGGCGCGCATCTTTGGCGGGCTCATCTTCCTTGACCAGAGTGGCGGTGCGGTCGTTTCGCTTCTTGGTGAGCCGCGCTGCTTTCGTGTCTTCGTCTTCCTTGTCGCAGCATGGACGAGTCGATCCTTCTTAAGCCACGCCGTTTTGGCCGCTGCACCTTCCTTGGCGCGCGCGGCGGCAAGAGCGCGTCGATCCTTCTCAAATCGCGCTGCTTTGACCGCTTCGGACTGCATTTGTATATGAACGTGTTCCGCGTTGTCTTCGTTACAAAGAGTTCGCATACGTAGTGCTACGCCTGAATGCGTGGAAGTTGGCACCAGCACTTGGTCGTTGGGAGTGAGCTGCGCACGGAGAAATCCGTCCCGTAGTGGACCCCACTCGCCGAGTGATAGCTCGCGGCGCAGGGCTGCGTTGAACTCAAAGTCCGAAATGACAGTCGAGGATGGTTGGTTGCCTTGGACCATGTCGTTGCAAAAGAAGGAATGAGCCACTCGGAGACATTGGTTGCCCATTGCGTTTACAACATTCAGGACTCTCAATTTGAGCATTTCGTTTAACTGCTTAACATATGCGAGTTGAAAGCGCCACAAAAAACTTCACCGCCGAACGAGTATCAAGCTCCATGGTTCGAGACGCATGCCAAATGTCCTTTATCCTTCCTACTTGTTGATATTACTTTATCCTATTAAGTAGGATAAAGAACTTATCAAGTGTATGGGTCCGTACACTTGATATAATCCTGCCATATGAGGACTTGACAACACTGCTGAAAACGCAGATGGGGTAGAATTCTATCAAGTGCCATACGATATAGCAATGCAATTGATACTTCAACAACCAGCGCAATTAGTATCATCGCTCTTGTGGCTCTTGTCTACCCATCGCGTCTGCCCTGCACAGATAGCGCATTTACCATTTTGCTCTACATATCACGATGTCGCACCAGACCAACGCCACGGCGCCGCTTGACGAATTGAACGACACCATTCGCGAGGGCCAATCGGCCAACTCCATCCTCCGAACCATCGAAAATGCAAGCGAGGACGTCGACAACTCGACCGAAGCCGGAAGCTTCTCCCAAGACTTTTTGGGGGCTCTTGCCAGAGCCATGCACAACAAAATAAGCGGGGGCATTGTGGCCTTTGTCCTCGCGCTCATCCAGATCATCGAAAAGTGGATCAGCAAAGCCATCAATTCGGGCCTCAGCTCGGTTGCGTTTGCACTCCAAAAACTCCAGCGCACGTGCATTCAGCAACTCGAGTGTCGTTCCGTGAAGTACTGAGTTATCGGCTACGACACAACACGCATATCTGCGAAGCAAAGATCGTATCAATATACAAATGCATTCGGTTCTGTCCTGCGACGTGTCCTTAAGCAAAACAAAAATCGTGATACTGTACATGTACACTACATGGCATTCCTCGTCGTTACCGCGTGCATGGGCAATGACGGGCCGTAGCTCGACCTATGGGACCCAACGATTCGTATTTTTAACAATCACGCAAGCAAGCGTAGTCGTAGCAACGTCACACCACACTACAATGGCCCAAGGACCGCGTGCGTCAGGTCGCAGTCGACACGTTTCCCACCCACCGTTGCTCCGATGCGGCAGCAACCACGCGCTTGCTGCCAGTCTCCCGGTGATGCCCAAGGTCTACCTCCCCCTCAGGACGTATTATCACATCGACCGCGGCGTGACGGTCGACGACGTCTTGACGACTTTGCACATTGACCCGTCGACGACCTTTGCGTCCAAAAAAGATAATGGCAATGCGAGGCACCGGGGCATGGACGCGCTCCTCGACGCGCGGCCAAAGCCAAAAGGCGTGACGCTTTGCCCGCGCTGCCGCGGCTTTCCGAAAGAGTCGAGCGTACCAGTGTTGCCACCGCATTGGATCGAGACATGCCGACATTCGAGAGGCAAGTGCGCCTTTTACAATACCAAGACAAGAGAGTCGCTGGATTTTCCGCCGTGGGGCACCGCCGCGATTTGCTCGACGGTCTTTCACCACCATGGCACGACGCAGTTTGTGTGTCGGTGCCGGGACACGGCTCTGACGCCCGTCATGGACCGGGCCAAGACGAGCCAGAGCAAGCGGGCCCGATACCACTCGGTCGTGTAGCGCGCTATTACCAATCCTGACTCGAAATAAATGCAGGCGTGAATAAACCTGCGTCGCTGCGATCGTCGAGCGACGTTGGACACATTGGTCTTACCTACCGGCGAACCGCGTGCGGTAGTTTACCTAACGTTAGTACAAGTGCGATCGACGCGGTCGGAGGGAACTGTGCCGAATGCCACGATCAGATTTTGTACCACAGACTGCTGAGATGGACCTCGTCGTGTCCACGACCGCACATAAACAGGACAGGTTGTGGTATGGTATACATGGTGTATGTAATGCAACTCTGCCAATGCGGACGACAACACAGCCTTTCGGACGGCAAATTTGTTTCGAGCAAGTTGTTGTTCATTCGTGTCCCGATTGCACTCACAAATGGCACATTAGAATGGCAGGTTCACAATCCAAATAGTACACTGTTAGAGGTGCTATGGATATCCAAGTAAACTATGACCACTCGCACCGCCTTTCAATGCAGCGAATTTAGGTTACTCGACATCATGGCCGACAAGAAATACAGTTGGCCGACATCGCCAAAACCACGAGTCAGCGAGGAATGAATGCATGTGCGAGTCCACCCAACAACGGCGAGCTACATGTACATGATCGCGTCAAGCTAGAAGGTCACCACACTTATGAACGGACGTCTAAGGCAATACGCTGTATACGTTTTCTTTCGACAAGTAATACCAGTTCCAATAGTCCAGGCTGGGTTCTAGCCCATATCGGAGGTACGTAAACGATGTGGTGGTATCGATCACGTTGTGGATGACCGACTCACGCCGTGTCTACCAAGCCGTAGTCACGTTCGATTGGTTGAAATGGATGGTCCACATCGTAGTTCGAAGCAAGAAGGGCAATATGCATACTGTATCCAAGTACACACGTCGTGCTTCGACGAAGTTGTAGCGTTCGCGCCACGAATTGAGATCTGAGAGCTCGCCTCGTCATCCGCTCATCTGCACGAGGTGGCCCGTCTAGCTCACTTTTCATTTGCCTCGCAGCGTCGCATCAAATGGTGCTGCAGCTCGAGTCACTGGTCACCGATACGACGTTTGGTCATGTCTTCCGCGCCACGAACGCAGGCGTCACATACGCCGTCAAGCAGTACACGCAGCCGTGCTTTGAAGCGTCGGCCGAGCTCCGCGTCGCAAAGGCGCTCGCAGAAGACGCACCACACCCCCACTTGGTACACACGATCGACTGCTTTTACCAGCACGACATGGTCCACCTCGTCTTGGAGTACTGCAGCGGCGGTGACTTGTACGACTATTTGCTCCATCGGCCAGCGCTGCCAACGAGCGACGCCCGGCGCGTTTTTGAGCAAGTGGTCGCTGGCCTGCACCATTTGCACCAACGTGGTTTCGCCCACCGCGACATTTCGCTTGAAAACATCCTCTTGGATGAACATGGCGATTGCAAACTCTGTGATTTCGGTCTCGCGGCGCCCGCCCACGAAGTGAGCGACGCGGTTGTCGGCAAGCCCTTTTACATGGCACCCGAAGTCTACGCCGGCCGGCCGTATGACCCCGCCGCCGCCGACATGTGGGGGCTTGGTATCCTTCTCTTCATGCTCGTCACCGGCGTGCCCATGATCAGTGCGCCGTCCGACGCCGACGGTGGGTACCGCATCGTCGCGCGGCAAGGCGTCAAGGCGCTCCTCAAGCTCTGGAACATGGAGACGCTTTTTTCAACCGACTTGATCAATGTGCTCGACGGCTTGTTGACGGTAAACCCCAAGCGCCGCCTCAGTATGCGCCAACTCCGCGCGAAGTTGCGACCCAAGGGCTCGTGGCGCTGCAAGCTCGCCATGTGGTTTTAGATGACATAGTTTACCCGATATTTACACGACAATAATTTATTTACAATCAATATCAACTAGCTTTATATACCAAGCTGCCCATAAGCCCCCGCGGTTTTCTTCAAAGGTTCTGTTATCGAATTTTGGATAATGCCGGTGTCGATACCACGTTGCATGGCTACTTGATTGCGTCCCGTGCAACAAGAGTCAGTCTGTCAGTTGCCTCGCTCGACGTTCGAGTGCAGAAGTTTTATGACGTCGCTCTTGGTGACGCGGTCACGCCGGTCGACAAGTCACGGAGCCGCTTCATCAGCTCCTCTCAGCACCTTCGCCGTCGTTGTTGTTGAAGCGGGTCTTCTATTACTATAGATAAAACTATGCGAAATAAAAATGTCAGACTTTCTTCGTTGTGTGTACTCGGTTGAGGGACTTGATTTAGGCAGGCGGAGGCAGGAGCGCAATCCGAGGGACGAGGTGACGTCGCGGCCACTCGTCTTGGGCGAGGAGCCGGAGAAGCCGACGAAGAGCAGGCTGCTCGGGCTCCTGTACGAGGCTGTGGTGCAAGTGCAGTTGAGCGACGCGTGCCACCTTGACGGCAATCGTCCATGGACTTGGCAGCGGTAGGTCGGCGCGAAAGACGCGATCGTTCCGGACTCGCCAGACGTTGAACCAGACGCAGGCGCGGAGCACGGGCCAGAGGGCCGTCGGCGTCGTCGTGATCCCAACAACGATCTAAAGAACACCCACATAGCGACGTGGGGTGCTGACATTTCTCTTCCAATGCGGTTGATATTCTCCGGGGTGGATCAAGCAGCATTAGCGACCACCTCTGCATAAACTATTTTCATAAGACCGACGCGCAATCCAACGCGGTCAAGACGCTCGTGACACGGGTCAGCGAATCGTGCTGTCGCATCCATCCATTCAAATGGAAAGGGCTCTATCCGACTGCGTTCCCCTTTGAAACGACCGTCGCACCTTGTGGAGCATCATCGAGTAGCTTTCCTGTCGTGTCGTCATGGTTCGAATTGCCTGTATGGACCTCGGACGTCTATATTACGGCGACCCAGCACTATGAATGGAGATGTTGCGCTTGTAAAGCCTCGCGGCCGCTGCCAACCTTGCCAGAATCAACCCATCGATGCCAACGACGGTAACGTTAGGCCCTTTCGTCATTCGTCTAAAGCTGGGGCTGCGTCGCTGTATAGGGGCCAATGGTCGACGCTAAATGCTACATCAACCTCAAAGGACGCGTCGAGTTCGATGGCAAGAGCTGGGCCGATCGTGCGCGGTAGGTCTTGGGCTGCTTTGACATCACGCCTTCATCGCCGTTGCACATTCGTGGAAGCGTACACATCCCTCCTCAAGTATTCCTGTGCTGCTATGTTCTTTTTGAGCGTCTCGATATCGGTAGGTATGGCTACGATTACACCGCAAAAGGCCGAGTTGCACCAACGCTGTGTCGTACACCTGATGATGGCCACCATCCCGCGTGTTGTTTTCTACTAGTGGCACCACTATTGTATTATTCCAAAGGTTTCGCGATGGCTCCATCGACGTCCTTGCCAACTACCCTACCCCTCCTCCCACTCTTCGTCACGTGATGCAAGCAAGGTTGCATACGTGTGCTTTCTCGCTTCCTTTTTTGTGGTTCCTGCGTGCCCATGCCACCACGTCGGCAAGGGCTACAAAATCCTTGTCTATATCCCAGCGCCACAGACTCCATCTTCCATCCCTGGCAATCCTTCCATTAACGTGAAGGGCAGTTCTCATGCGTACAGCCCACACAGCCGGTGAAAATCGATTGTCGCGGCATCCTGTTCTATCCCGGCGGCGGCAGCACAGGGCGACGTCGTGAGCTCCTTTGATCTAGTTCACGATAAAGACTGTAATTGTGCACGACCATCGAGATATCGTCATAGCGCGGCATCGGAACGACCTTCTCGAACTCGATCGAAGCATCACGCGATCGGGTTGCGGGATCACATGCGCCCGACCCCGCAATCACTTGGCGGTCGAGTCAGAAATAACGTCATCATTGTCGTGACAACTATGTGACCCGCCGATCTTGGATGAAGGTCGCGCATTGGTCAACTGGTCAGCATACGTCCTAGATGACGAGCAACCGTCAGCGCACCGCCATCGTCCCTGCCGCCGTCATGGCCTCATGCCACCGCACCCGCGTGCTGCCCGAGCTCTTCCAGCACATTGCACTCTTCCTGCCCTCGTCGCTGGACATGGCCTCGTTCCTCAGCGCGCTGCCAGCGAGCCTGCGCACACCGGCGCTCGAGAGCCTGTACCAGCTCCACCGCGCCGTCGCCCAGAGCCGCCTCTACTTTCCCAAGTCGGACCCGACGTACCCGCGGCGCGTGCACCTCTGGCCCAACTTGGTGTTGCCGCGATACATTGCCGAGGCCGAGATTGCCGTTTGGATTGAAAAGGTCATGGTGCTCTACCCGGTCGTCGAGGTGCAGCACGTGGCCGTGCCGCTACCGTACCCGCTGCTACCGACCACCAAGCTTGCGTTCGACTACCCGATCTACCCGCACGAGCTCGAGCTAGTCCTGCGCCATTGGAAGGACCGCGCGATTTCAATCCTGCTGCTCATTTCCGACAATGGGCAGCCGCACCGGGGCATGACGATGGACGCGACCATCGACGTCATCCTGCGCGCGCTGCAGTCGCTGCCCGCGCTGCGCCAGCTCGAGCTCTCGTGGTTTGGCGCGTCGATGCCGCTGCGCTTTCCGCGCGTGCTCTACGCCATGACGACATCGCCGATCACCAAGGTCGACTTTCGCGACTGCCATGTCGAGTGGGACCAGGCCATGGTCGTGACGCTTGCCCATTGGCTTACGACCAAGCCGCTCGTGGCGCTGGTCTTGCCCA